TTTCAAAAAAATATGAAATGTATTTTGAAATTTCCTAAAATATATATCGAGATTGTAACCCAATTAATAATATTCTACAATATTTTACATATTCGTTCAGAACTTTAGTCTCTACGTTTGTCTAAATTTCCCAAAAATTTTTTTTTTTTTGTAAAAATCAAAATATTTCAAAAAATACAAAATGTATTGAAATTTCCTGAAATATATATTGGGATTTTAACCCATTTAATAATATTTTAGAGCATCTTGCAAAATCCATTTAGTAGTTTAGTAGTTTATCCATTTAGTCTCAATGTAAAAAAACCAATTTTTTTTTAGAAAAATCAAAATATTTCAAAAAAACGAAATGTTTTAAAATTTCCTGAAATACATATCGAGATTTTAGCCCAATTAATAATTTTCTCAAATATTTAACATATCCGTTTAGAAGTTTAGTCTCTAGGTTTATGTCTAAATCTCGAAAAGTCGCTATTTTTTCATTTCATTTTACCGAATTGCATTTATCAGATCTGTTATTTTAACGAAATGTCACTTTTGCGAATTGCCATTTTTACGAATTGCCACTTTTGCGAAAAGTCATTTTTGCGAAATATCATTTTTTCGAATTGTCATTATTTGCGAATTGTCATTTATGCGCCAATCGTTATTGTTCCGATATGTCATTTTTTCGAATTGTCATTTTTACGAAATAACACTTTTGTGAATCGTACAAATTTCGTACAAATGACAATTCGAAAAAATGAATTTTTGCAAAAGTGACAATTCGTAAATTGTTAATTCGCAAAAAGTAATTTTTGCAAAAGTGGCAATTCGTAAAAATGTCGATTCACAAAAATGACATTTCATAAGAATGACAATTCGAAAAAACGACAATTCGAAAAAATGTCAGTTCGCATAAATGACAATTCGCAAAAATAACTTTTCGCAAAAGTGACAATTCGTAAAAAAGTCGATTCACAAAAGTGACATTTCGTAAAAATGACATTTCGGAACAATAACGATTCGTAAAAATGACAATTTGTAAAAATGATATTTCGCAAAAATGTCTTTTCGCAAAAGTGTCAATTCGTAAAAATGGCGATTCGCAAAAGTGACATTTCATGAAAATGAATATATTTATTCGCGGTTTTTACTTTTTACTTGGCGGCCATTTTCTACAGCGAATCTTGATCCTTCATATTAAATTTTAAAAACCGATCTTGATTACATTTTAGTTTTAGTAAATTTGTCCCCTTGATGTTATTGCTATAATGGTTTTTTGCTTCTGGACGTGAAAGTTAAAGGATCCTAAGCAGCACGTATTATCATCTTAATATCACTGTAACATTACATTAGATATTCGTAATATTACTCTGTAATAATTTTTTGCTTACTTTGACTAAGTTTTTTTTAAAATTGAGACGCGATGTCTAAATTTTACTTACAGCTTCGTAATCTACATAAAAAATTCTACAGGAATTTCCTTTTTTGATGATGAAAATTAACTCCATTTTTACATATTTTTTCTGGACTAGCAGATTGTTAGAAATAAAAATTAATATTTCTGAAGTTTATTCTGTAAATCCCCCAGAATATCCTAGGAATACTCTGATATATTCAGCTCTGTAAGGGACATTCATTTATTCGACCACATGCAAATGGCTGCCGCATTTTCCCCATAGGTAAAAATGACGCTTGGTCCCATACACTTTTTTTGCCTAAAGGTTAAATAAACGCCAATTTCATAATATGTCGAACAAATGAATGACATTTACTTCTTGTTATCGTCATTTTTGTGCTTTTGAAAGAACAGGTATCGTAAGTAACACGGGGCCAAAGATTGTTTACATCTTTTACTATCACTTCTTTATATTTAAGGGCTTTTGTAACTTTTTGGGTAAAAAAATCGAATTTTTTTTAATTTCATTTTTCTATAGGAATATATGTCAAGAATATGTGCTTACAATCTTAGATCGCTATTTGTTCATAAACTTTTGATACCCTAAAAAGATAGAAAATTGTGTAAATTTCTAACAATTAAGTAACATTCATCAAATTCGTTATAATTCTAAAGGTTGTGAAGTAAAATAGTTAAGAACAATTTATTCTTAAATTTTACCCCCATAATAATGAAATTTATCTCTAAAATCGTCCCCCAATCATAATTTTGATAAATTTCCAATTTTTCTTAAACAAATTGGATAAAAACATCCAAATAAGATTTATTGGGTCTAGAATTTGTTCGGAACATACTTCAAAAAAATATTACCTTTTATGAAAAGGTTAATACATGTAATTTTTTCAAAGTAGTATGGATAGTAATAAACTTCAATTTTTAAAAAGTTACATGCATTAACCTTTCAAAAAGATACTATTTTTAAAAAATTTTTTTTTAAAAAACTAGATCCGGGACCAAACCGAAGTTTTTGGTGTGTATGCATTTCCTGGTGATTACTAAAATGCGCTCAAAAGCTCACATTTTCTTATTTTTCTGTAAAGAAGATATTAAAATTTAAAAAATCTCAGAATTTAGCATTGAAGTCAATTACGTAAATTGATTTGATTTTAATTTGACTTCATTTGATTTTTGATATGACGCATTTCAATTTGTTCACTAGACACGTATTTTTCAGTGACAATTCGTACTTAAGTAAATAAAGAAAATCACTTTACACATTTATTTACACTTTTTCACATTATATGCCTAACTAAGAATCAACCAAGAATTTGTAAACAAAAGCATTGTATCAACAAAAAAACAAACAAAAGTTTGTTTTGACACACACTGTCACTGAAAACAACGTGTATATAGTAAAAAAACTAAGATAAAAATACAACTTATTTGCATTTTTTGACCAATTTTTTTAGGAACATTGGAAATTTGTCCGAATCCCTTAGTATCAAAATTTATTCAAATTCGTAATTAGCGACTCAAAAACTTGTCAAACAAATTTGTTTAAATTATTTTTTTTTGCCCGACATAAGGGATCTGTCCCAGTGTGCACGTTCTAGAACTGTTCTAGAACAGTTAATGGATATAAAGAACAGTTCTAGAACGGTTCCAGAATCGTTCCAGTACGTGCACACTGGGGTCATTTAGAATTTTTGAAATCTGCCATTTATATTCGCAATCAATCTCCAAAAAACCACGAGAGTAACAAATTGTATGCTTGTTTGAGAAAGTTTAATGTTTTCGTATCAATTCATTAAAATGTTTCATTTTTCAAAATGGTTACCATAAAAACTGGAAAGCCATTTGACCAATTTTGAAAATTTCTTGAGCTAGTATGGTAACCATATTATATGAAAATAATTCTTGACATACATAAATAATTACATGTATAAACATTTGATCAATTATATTTTAATACTTCCAAGCAAGAAATATTTTTAAGAACCTCTCATTTTAGGCCTGAAAAAGTTACAAAACCTGTTCAGACTGCAAACGCCATTGTACACGGGTGATTAAAATTTAAATGTCATTTTTGATTGTACGAACTTTGATTTTTCAATGTTGGAATTTAAACTTATCGCTAATCTTTTTTTGGTTAATTAGAATATATGATGGACAAAAATAATAGTTGTCGAACTAATAGAAGCAAATTTTCATTGTCACCAGATGAAAAATTATTGCAAAAATTCCTTTTGGATATTGTTACATATTACAAGAAGAGAATTAAAAAAAATGTTTTTAAGGATTTTTAGTTAATTTTTGCAACTCTAGATAACGTCTTCCAAAAGGTGCGAACAAGGGACACCACTGACATTTTGCCTCTAATTTTTCCAGCAAATTTTTTTTAAAGAATTTCTAGCGACTAAAAAGTAATAATTTAAATAGAACGATTAATTAAGAAAATTAATTGACTTTAAAAATCTTTTATGCATGAAATAGTATAATAGATTTTCGGGCAGGACATGAAAATGATATTTTAATTTTAATCACCCATACTTTGGTCCTTTGGTGCTTATTATACTATTCTCTATATTAGTGATTTCTTTATTAAATTTTTGAGTGTATACTGTTTAAATTTTGCAATTAGTATTTTACTCGATTTAGATTTTTTACTAGAATCGCATATACCCTGAGAGAAGAGGTTTACTCAAGTTGATTACTAATTGTGTAATTAAGAATTATTGTTTAGTGGTATGAATCGTTTAGAGTGAAATACGTGGAATTGATAGATAGGAAAATCGCTCTAATCAGAATTGTAAGTGCGGATCAAGTAACTCGGCCGATTCTCGGACGGACTCGCTAATACCAGTCAAGTAATAGTAACTACTGGCATTAGAGCTGTGCTTTCGAGCGTGAGTCACGATATTTGATCCAGACCTTTAATTCCAACTTACTGAATATGTATACTTTGTGCAATATTCGTGTCAGATTCGTCGTGATAAAAAGCAGCACGAGCCATTAGGTTTAGCGTTTTCCCTCCAGAAGTCTAGTGTATCAATTTTATTCGATAGAGTGGAAGCTCTTTTACTATATTCTGAACGTAAGAATTGTATTTAACTAATAAAATTTGTCTATGTTTCTCATTTTGCAATAGTGGGTTTAAAGTTATGGTAATCTTTATGAATCGAATTGTAAGAAATTGTTATTGTGATTAAGTATATATGTTATTTAAATTTTAAATCTTGAATAGCTAATTATGTCTTTTTAGAATTAATTTTATAAATCTCAAAATGAGAATAGTATTCATATTTAATTTTGAAAATTATAGTATTATATGCATGTGCGATTTTAATTTTATTGTGATATTAGATTTCTAGGTATTGTAAATTATTTTCTTGGACAACAAAATTTGAATTTGCTTATGTACAATAATTGAAAAATATATATATTTTCTTAACATGTATATTTAGCAGCTTTAACATTTCATACCATCTAAATTATCTTGCATGAATATTAAATTATTAATATTACATATACAACTTTCAAAATGAAATATAATTTATATATTGTTAACAAAAAATTTATGATTATACAATTAAGAATATTAAATTATTTTGTTTGTTAATATAAAAGATTATATATTATTTTAATCAGTTCACTTTAATATCTCGATTAAGATTGTACATAATTTAAATTGGTTGATTTAAACTGCTCAAATTAATAGATTATGATTTTTTTAAATTCAAATTGCTTGATTAAGATTGTATAAAGTATTTTGAATAGAAATTTGTGTATGTTTGCCATATTAATTTAGGCTTTTTGGAACAAACATGACTCTAGCGAATTCTTTAATTCCTTTTTTGACATTACCCGCACATTTATATTTTAGTATTATGATACGCTACTACTTAATTTAATAATTAGCATCAGTCTCCATCATTCAATCTGCCGCCACACAGTATTTTTTATATTAGATAAATGTCTCAACATTTGGAAATGTATTTCCCGTAACTTAAAACGAATTTAGTACTCTGGCGTCTGTCCTAAAGGCTTGGCTCATTTAACCTGTTTTTTATTATATTATTAAAAGTTGACATTAGAGTCCTTCGATATCCAAAAAATGTTTTCATTTTTTCACTTATTGTGCACTTGAAAACACTTGCTGTTAAATCCACTTGATCGTATATCTGCTTAATTAATTTCGACTTTTTTTAGTAACTGCTAGTGTGGCTAAATTGACGTGTTTTTTGTCTTTACAGAAATTCACCCACCCATTCTTAACGGAACAGTTGATTTTTTTTATAACTTACTTTTTTACTTATCCGACTATTGAGATGTCAACTTTTACAGTTGTCGTCTAAATTTTACAGTTATATTCCCTAAAGAGTTAACAATCTGCCTTATGATCATTTTAAAGCGTCTTCTGCTTACAGTTAACGCCTATAGTCAAGTTGTCCTATTCTTTCTGACTAGTTAGGACTTCTTACTATTTTTTTAGTGTAGTTATCTGAAAGAGAAAAGTTGTCAGCATTCCTTTGTGTTGGAAGAAGCCCTTTAAGGTTTATACTATAGATACGAGAAAATTAGCAATATTGAAAGGAAGAGACACGGAGAAAACGATGACTTTTCTCAATCAGAGGATGAACATTCGAGGCGTTTTTTTAAAAAATTTTATGTCACAATCTAGTTCGTGGACAATAGTTAAACACTCACTATATTAAAAATCATTGTCTAAAATTTACTCAAATTTAAACATGTCCAGATAAGACAGTTCTATTCGTGTATGACGCACAAGAACACAAAGTATTTCTGTAGACTGAACAAATCTTTTTTCACTTCGATCTTGAAAATCACTTTCTTGTTGAACTGAATGATGATAGAAGTTTTACTTAGCTTCTGCGAGCAGCACAAGATCATCGGCTACAACATCGCTGATGTGTAGGTAAATGATCCAGTACATCAAATTAAAACAGACGAAGCATACTGGAAATACTATGCGGGAGTATTTGTCAATATCCGATGGCGTGATACCTGTTGAATAGAATTTTGAATTAGATTAATTAGCGATTTGAGTTTGATAAAAAAATGGAGAAGAAGGAGCTACATAAATAAAATGTAAACACTCAATGAGAAGGATTATGAGACATGCTACAGCTGAAGTCTATTTAAAATACAAGGTATAAATGGCGACGGATACAGTAACGAAAGTGGTATAACATTAAAAGTTTCTCACTCTTACGATTCTGTATCAGCTTTTTCATTAAATCTCGTATAAGTTTGTAAGTAACCACTTAAAGGAGCAATTTGGCTGACGGCAATTGAGATAGGTGTACAGAATATGTCTAGCGCAGGTAACATGGCGAATTTAATGTCAGATGAAACGTTTTTCAATAGGCAGGAGTAATTGGATGTATACATCTACTTGCATAAGAGTAACCCGTTCCATATTGCTCTAAGTTTTTCTTATTAAATAATCCCGCATTCTAGCTACAGAAATCTATAGAAAGGTACCTGTTATCGTCCCCTTACCTAATATCGTCTCCCTGGGTTTTGAAGCTGTAGAGAAGGAAACATCGGAAAATAGCGTTACTTGGAGCAAAGGCAAAACATTTAACCAAAAAAGTTTTTATGCTACATTATAAGAATTTTTTAAAATATTTTCTTTCTTTACTATTTTCTTATTGTTCAGTCTCTTTCTATTCCATCAAAAACTCGAATTAGAAAAAAATAGTTACATGTTCTGGAACTAGTAACATCAACACAAAATGTTGATTAACTTGTATCGCATTTATTTTAAAAGTCGAATAGAAAACCCCCTATGGTTCTATTGTCACGGAGCGAAAAATATGGTGTGATGTAGGTATTAGTAAATGCGTTATTTCAATTTCGAAATTGCTATTCCAAAAATCCAATATAATGTAAAAGAATCCAATTCAATATCTACAATATTAATCTTAACGATTAAATTATTTTGATTTAATCCTACATTCAGAAATTAATCTCTTTATTACTGTAATTATTTTTATAATCTTACTTAATTAAAATGTTTTCTATACAAATTCGTATATTTCTAAAAAATAAAAAATCTTACAAGAAAGTTTTTAAATATTTTTTTAAAATTTCGTTATTGAAAATTATTTCGGGGGACGTTATTTGGGTTTTCCCCTAATCCTACATTAGATCATATTCTTTATACCTCAATTCCTTATATATTTAATCCAAAGTAATTTTTCTTTCTATTTTTTCTTTTTGATTGATGGTTGAAAAAAGATGTAAGATAAATTTTTTAATTTTATTTGATAACCATCGATCAAATAAATAATATACTTTAATTAATTTTCGAAAAAACAGAAAAATATCAGTAAGAACATACCATAAAGTTTGCTGATATCTTTTCCAGGATGAATGAGATGTTGTGGTACTGGTGGAGCTTCTTCGTCAGCCCTTCCGTTTATTGTATTCTCCAGAGTTCCTCCTTTACTGTGTGCCTTGGGGTCGTGGACCTTGAACCGCACCTCCTGGACAACACGGCACCACTTACAAGAGACACGGCAGTTCGCTTAGGGTTGTCCTTTCAGGATAACCCTTTTAACTTATAAAATTATTTTTAAGACGTTCAAAAAAACTATTCAACATGAATATTACCAAAACTATTCCTTTGCAGCCCTTAATTTGAGGAATAATTTTTATTCATTTTATGCTACAAAAAGTAGTAAAAAAAGTAACGAAAATAATGGGGATAAAATTATAAAAAAAGTTTTTTCAAGTTTGCATATTTCTTCGAAAATGTTTTGGAACTTCATTTTATGATACTAAGAAACATTTTAAAGCAAAAAATTTATTATTTTGAAATTTTTACTAGAAAGTCCCATTAAGGAAAAGCTTAGCTTTCCGGTAACTTTTGGAAAGCTTTTGCCATAGTCATATAATGAACAATATAATATACATTTAAATTTATAAGAGAAAATGTATTTTGTGTAATTTTTATCATATTACAGTAGAAAATCATTATTGTTTACTCGAATATTCATTGCATTTTAAGACTAATTAGTAATTATCTTAATATTATCCGTTAGATACATCTAGGACATCCCTAGGATATCTACGGGATAAAAAATAAATTATTACAAATTTTGTATTTTAAAATTAACTGTAAAAAGAGAAAGTCATTTGTTTCAATTTCTCGAAATACGAAGATTTCCTGCTATCTTGGAGAGATATATCGACCTCCGCGTCCTAACGAACAACGTTTACGTGCCCTTGGATATCATAGACGTCGTATCAATGTTTCGGCAATGCTATGACGTCTATATAACTATCAGAAGCGATTCAGCGCCCATCTTGACCAGATGGTAGTACTCTGTTAAGGTTTGATAGTCCGTTGATACGTGATATACATCAAGTATGAGCGATTGTAAAAACATGGAAGATTACCTGCGGGTAATGCTTCGGCTAAATCCTTAACTGGTTTCGATCGTCAAGCGCCTGGCGTAAGGACGGTGACCCAGGGATGCAGGAGGGCAACAACGCTTTGGGGGTACCAAGAATTGTCTTGGATAGAGTAGATAGACGAGGAAGTACGAGCAGCGTTACAAGTCAAGCCAGCTAATGCTATTGCTAGCTGCAATAAAGATCAAGACCAAGCTATAAGGCTGCGGGAGGAGGAAGCAGCTTGCACTCAAAGAATGGAGAAAGAGGAAAGTAAGATGCTAAAGTACTGTGATGTCCAGAAAAACGTTAATATGACAATCAAGGACGGACTGAAAAGCATAACAACGCTCATACAGGAGATTAAGAAGAAGCACGCAGCTGCAAAAAAGTAGATAAGAGGTTCTACCAACAATTGGTGTGGTCAGAGGAATCAAGACAAGATCGAAGAGTTACACGCGACCCCTTAAACACTGTAGTGTTAAGAAATGTCGTCTTGGAAGGTCAGAAGCGGAAGAGGAGCAGTTCTGAGTTGTCTTAAATTTTAAAGCAGAAAAAGAATGAAGGACCTCCATGAAGTGACCTAGGTCCAGGAGGTCTTAGATAGAGTTTCGGCAATTCCAGTAAGAAGCAGGAAGGAAATTGTCTTGGGACATAATAAGCGAGGTAGTAACCACACAGCAAGATGCAGAAAAGCTGGAACATCTCGGCCACACAAGGGTTGGCTTTTGTCTTGTCCAGTGAGGAAAAGAGTTATGTTCACAAGGTGTCATAGGTGTCTTGACTATAACAGTCTAAAATGTTATTGTCGTGATAGGTCCCTTTCGCCATAATGCGTTACATATGTTGAAAAAATAAAGCGGTTACTTTAGGCGCATTTTTTCTAGAGCAAAAATAAAATTAAAACGGATAAAAAAATTAACTTTTTAAAATTGGATTCTATTGTTTCTTCGAGTAAACAATAACATAGTCGAATTTACAAAAAATATTTATTGCAATTAAAGATTTCCTCCATACAAACTTTGCAAAGTATAAATAGTAATATTGCATAAATAGTATTTATAAAGAAGGATGGAGTATTAAAAATGAGAAAATAAAACTAAAATTAATAAAGTAAATTAAATAGTATATGAAAGTTTGACAATGTGTGCGTTTTAAGGGTAATACAAGTTTCAAAATGTATGTATATAATGAAAATGAAATCAAAACAAATACCAAAATCGCAAATTTTTGGCACACCCCTTTTCCATAAGAATTAAATATTTTACACTGTCCTTAAGAAACATTTTAGACCATTTTAGCTTGCGTTACTCACAGTTTGTTTGGGTGCGTGATCATGGGGATCTCCTGGAAGACCTGGCGGTCCTGGATTTTCTCTGGCTGCTTTCATGCTCTCTGCTATCTTTTGAAAGCGATTCTTTCTCATTTGGATCCTTTTCGCCATATATCCTACTGTGGCATATTCTGTTAAAAGAAAAATTACCTTAATCAGATTTGATCTTACACCTTGTCAATTTTTTTAGCGCCTAGAGCTAGGTGCACTCGAATTTCTACCCAAATAGCAGAACATTTGAACTTAATATTGTGTCAATATTGCATGTCAATGTTCCCACAGGGCGGACATAATAATTGTTGAGACAATATTGTCCCAATATTGAGCTTGCTTATGTAATCAGAATGTTACCCACTTGAAGCAAAGGAGAATGAAGTAAAGAAAAATCTGGAACTAAAAAGGTTTAATTAAGAAAATCTTTCTATGCATTGAACATTCAAAGGTATGTCTTTTACCATAATTTATTATCTTGAATGTCTAAAAACCCGAATGCCTATGTCCCCGAAAATAAAAATTTCTTTTTTATTATTAATAGCTTATACGCTAAATTAAATTTTTGAAAAATTCAACATATTATATTTTTAAAATATTTTTAGAAATATGTAAAGAAAGTAAGTATAAAATTTGTAATCAATATGTAAATATTCAATTTGTTAATATAAACTTAGAGCACAACATTATGAGACATTCAAAAAGTTCAACACTCTGTTATAATCTGTTGTTTACTCTGTCCGACAGCCTTTTATCACTTGCATAGAAGGCAGTGTTTGCTTGAATTCTGCTTTGAAGCTAACACTATTTTTTCTTTTTTGCAGCTTTCAACTTTCTGTCTAAACATAACTGCGTTATAAGACGCTCTTTATGAGTTTGCTCTCTTTGTAGGCCGGTTAGATAGTAGTACAAATTATCATGGTGATTTTCTATTACTATGGCAAAAAGGTTATGCCATCCCTCACTGACGTTCATAGTTCTCCTCGCCTTTTATAGAGCAGCTTTATGCTGGTTCTACATTTCGGTTGCATACCATCGTATAATCTGTCTTCTGTGTCCTCTTGCAGGTTGTCTAGTGACGTAAGTTTCAGGGAAATAATCTAGGACAGGAGAAAGTTCAACTAGTGAAATAATTAATAGCAACTGAAGAGCATAGTTAAAGTCATTTGAGAGCACAAGAGCCAAAGACGACATCATATACGTAGTCATTTTCAAATTGCAATTTACCTCCTGCGAGCACATTCCTTTTCTTCAGCAGCTTCAGAATCAAAAAAACTTGAGTAAAAATGTATGGTGAAACCTTAAATGTTCCGCTTAGGAACCAAACGGAACATCGTGACAAGGTAAGCCTACTGAAAACTAAAATTCTTACGTCGTTTCTCAATAATTTAAATGAATCATAAATGAGAAAGGCTTCCTCAGTCAGGGTTCGTCGATGTTTTATTAGATATTACGAGACGGCCATTTATGACGGGTTTAACGGTAAATCTTTTTTGCGGTAATTCTAAGCACAATATTTTAGAGGGATGATGCATAATAATATTGCTTTAGCGACGAAATATGCAGTATAAGCAATAAGAAAAAAATAATAATTAGAAATATGTGAGTATTCCAATGACCTTATTTACACAAATTTAGCCTTGCTTTGTAGCTGCGGTAAATAAAAAACACTTTCCGTTCCAAAGTTTCACGCAATCTCAGAAATTTTTTCCTTTACTTCTTTTTGGTCGTTGATATAAATTCACGTCGATTATAATTTTTTTCCAAACATTACTTATGCTTTCTCCATTGAGATGAGGGAAATTGTAATAAGAATAATAGTAAAAATTTAAAAATGTTAAAATGAACAAAATTTTATAAAAAATACAGAATAATCAAAAATTAAAAACTAATGTGACAGTTACACAGTCTATGAGAAAATATTCCTTAAAAAAAGCTTTTATGAATTTCCTGCCGAAAATTATATCGGAATTAAAATTGGGCTTCCGATATAATTTCAATGGAAAGGGAGTTTCATTAGTAAGCAGTTTCAAATGTTACAGTTTGTAGACCTAACTAATAAAAATCAAATGAAAGAGACACTTTGATAACAAAAATTAAATTTTTGAAAAGAAACAAAAAACGGCATTATCTTTTCGGTCGAGGGAACCGGAGCTTTACCGCGTTGTGTTGGTCAAGTATGTTGACTTAATTCGGTATATGTTTCGGATTCTTATTGGTTGAACAGTAAAAGATTCTTTCAGTGTGAGACATTTTCAAAACAATTTTCACCATTAGAAAACTACGTTTTCCATGCATGCGTTATGAAAAATAATTTAGCAAATTTGTTATTCGGGTATCAATTTTTTGGTACAATGTCATTCGGAATTTTAGATCCTCGGGCCTACAAATACATGAAATATTTTTTTCGACTTCGTGTATCGGAGTATGCATTTTTAAAGAATTTTTAGTCGCTGAATCCATTTCCGTTTATCTCCATCACGTCTGGATTTTTTTTAATAAGATTTTTTTTATTTATTTAAACTAATTATATGTAATGTAACAAAAACAAATAATCTTGCCATAAACATTATTTTTCATTATTCATGTAATTAAAAAATTGTTAATTCTTTATTGTAATATTAATTTGTTTCACAAAATAGAATAAATGTTTAGTGTTAGAAATCAAAAAATATTAATTTTTGTCAAAGTTATGACAAAGTCAAAGTTATACCTCGACGTCAAACATGCCGCTTGATAAATTATGAAAGCAGTGAGAGAAACACCAGGCTATAGCGAGAGTCGAAGCACGGTCACCCATCCAAGTACTAAACGTACTGGACGTTGCTTCACCTTGATGATCGCAAGCCACGGAGTCTCACCACCGTAATTAATAATCGCTAATATGTCTTTTATATTAATAAACAGTAACATTTTTCCAACTTTACAACAAGATTTATTTACACTGCCGAACATCATTGATGTCATGGATGTGCTGGGACTAGTGGATACTTATCCACTGCCATAAATTATTGGCATAATGAATATGTTCAGTAAACCTTGCCGTAGTGGCGGGGCTTTCTACTAAAGGACAACCAAAGTAGCACGAATCATGAAAATGAGCTGTAAAAAAATGACTACCTGCAGGGTAATGCTTGGGCTAAATCCCTCTCAGGTTTCGATCGTCAAGCGTATGGTGTGGGGGCGATGGCCAGTGGTCAGTGGATGTAGGAGAGCAAAAACGCTTTAAAGATTCCACAGATAATCGTGGAACGAATCCTAGTAGAGAAAAGTGGTGGACCGAGAAGAACACACACCACCATGGAAAGTGGTGGACTAGGACCCAGAAGAGGTAACGATTCAAGTGTGGGCAGCTGCATTAGCGATATCAGCAACGCTTCTGTTGATGCTATCGCTATTAACCATCAGGATAGGGACACTTGTATTTAGCTGCGAGAAGAGTCGGCTTGCATTGAAAAGATCGAGAAAGAGGTACGCAAGAGGCACCGAAGCCAAAACCAGGTCATGGTAGTAGGGCGAGGTTAGCGGCTGGAGGATCAACAATGATCGTCAGGGTCGCGGAAGGAAGGTCATTTGCCGAGGTGCTGGGAAAGGTCTGTAATGAGGTGAACTCCGAGGCAAGTCAGACAAGAGTAGTTGGAGCACGACCAACCATAAAGGGAGACCTCCAATTTGGGATAGGAGGCTCCTCAGACAATAACGGGTTTAATGAGGAAGTGGCAAGAGTGGTGGGTGATTTGGGTATGGTGCAGAACGCGGACAGAAAGGTTACTCTGGAGATCCGCCACCTGGATTGCCTTACCCAAGAAAACGAGGTGCAAGAGGCACTATCAAGTCTCATTAAGGAACCGTCAGGAAGCAGAGAGGTGACTGTCCTTGGGCCTAACAAGCAGGGATGAAACTCACAGCTGTTGTCACCGACCAGGATTAGGCTGCGAAGATTTAGGTGCTCGGACGCATAAAGGTTGGTCTTATGTCATGCCCGACCAGAAGGAGGTTTAGGATAGTGAGGTGTCACCGATGGCTCGGCTATGGTCACCTAAAAAGAGAATGCAACTCAACGGACCCTTGAATGAAGGTCACAATAATATTCACGTCCGTATAAAGTTTTAAAGCATATGTGACGCTCCACGAGAAAAGGGACCTTATGACAAGAGTAAATAAGGTCCCTTTTCTCGTGGAGCGTCACATATAGATTCTAAATTATTTTTTTTAGTTTATTTAATGCTCAAATTTTTAAATATAAACAATTAATTAAGGAATGAAACCATTATTTTGGAAAATATTTTCCACTCAGGTTCGCGGACTTTCCAGATATTTACACAAACAGATTTTACTTTTTTTAAAAATTGTATTAATTTTTTAACTTTGATTAAAATTATAAACATTTAAAAAATTATAATTAAAAAAAATACAGATGTGATGGACATAAATGGTCAACGGATTTGGATTCAGCGACGAAAACTGCTTTAGAAATGCATATTCCGGTTCACGGAATGAAAAAAAAAATTGTTGGTCCTTTGTAATCTTAAATTGAATTAAATGAGACACAAGAATTAAATCCTTCTATAGTTTAATGGATATTAATAAAATAAGTGAAAAAGGTCATAAAAAAAGGTAAAAAGAATAAAGGCCTGAAAACAATTTTTTGTTCTAGACTAATAAATTTAATTAAAAATATCCTACCTAATTCGTTAAAACATAAAAATCGCGTTCTAACTCGTCAACATAATTAAAAAGGTTTACGAGGTTGTTAAACCATAATCAACAAAACGTCCCTTTTCTGACGATACATTGAAATTCATTCAATTTTCACCATCCCATGATTATTTACTGTATTAATATCAGTTGAATTAAATTATTTCTAATTAGTTAAGAAATTCTTAAAAGATTAAAATTATTATAATACCTAGTAATAGTAATATTAAAATTAAATTCTTATATTAAAATTATTATCGAGAAAAATAAATCTTTTTTCCTAATCATCATTGTCCACAGTCAGCCTAGCCGCATTTAAAACTTTAGGCTGCTTATTATTAAAAATTTTAATTACTTTACTATCTTCTTCTTTAAGTAATTGTAATAATAAATCTTTGCCTTTTGTGCCTAAAGAATTATAATTTTCAAGAGTTTTTTTATC